CTACAGTGTGTTTGGGCCCGTTTGAAAAGTGTCCAGACGCAACTGCGTTTGTAAATGGCCGGGTGATTACTGCATTAGTTTAAGATCTGAACAGCGTGAGTCGCTTTTCGATAGACTGTTGTTTCCAGGAGCTGGGAAGCAGGTTTTTTGATGAGCACGTCCAAGAATGGCAATTGGGCGTTGTTCTCCTCCTGTTTGGTGAAATGGATGCCGGGTAAAATATTATTGATATGGTGATGTGGTTCTTGTAGTTTGGATCGGTTGATGATGATAAAGGTATCGTCCACGTAATGTACTCAAAGTTTGGGCTCCATCATCGGCAGGGCCTTTTGTTCCAGTGCCTCGGCTACCAGTCCAGAGATTGGTGAGCTCCTTGGCGTGCCCATTATCTGTTTGTACCTTTGCCCATTGAAAGTGAAGTGTGTGGTGAGACAGAAATCCAGCAACTCCATCACTTGTGGGACTCCAATTCTGTTGTTAGTTGCCACCCCGGGTTGTTCAAGTAGGGTCATCATTGTTAGCCTTGCCAATTTCATGTCAATTGGTGTGAATAAAGCTGTGACACTAAATAATACCATCATCTCGTCACTTTCCATTGTTATTCCTTTGATTTTTCTAAGGAATTGTTTTGTCGATTAGATTGAATACTCTGAGTCTGCGGTTAGACGTTTCAGCCGTGTGCAGAGTTCTTTGGACAACTTGTAATTCGGTGCTCCGGGTAATGAGACGATAGGGCGAAGGGGTACCGCGTTTTTGTGTACTTTGGGTAGACCGTAGAACCGTGGTATCACTGAATCCTCGGGTTTCATTTTGCTATCTTCTAACTTCTTGATCTGTCCCATTTGTTCCAGTCTTTGAAGTGGTCGTTTGATCTGGTTTTCCAGACATTTTGTAGGGTCTACACTTATCGGCTGTTAGGTGTTCAGATCTCCGAGTAGTTCTTGTGCCTTCTTCATGTAGACAGTTTTGTCGATTAGTACCGTGAGTCGTTCTTTGTCTGCCGGTAAGATAACAATAGTTTTTTCTCTTCTGAGACTTGTCAGTGCCTTTTCTTCGCTCACGTTGAATATGTTCTTTTCCACTCTTTGACTCAGAGCGGGGATGATGCTATGTCGAATTACATGTTGGACTTCCACTGCGATGTTGCATGTGGCTAGCGTCGACTCCGATGGGGCAAGGAAATTAATGGGATTAGCAACTTGTTAACTGACTTGCAGACCTCGCACAAGGACTGCTCGTTCTGTAGCTGATAGAGTTCGTTTGGATAGACTGTTAATCCAGGCATCTTCTTCATTTGTTGGTTTCTGTTGCGAGATGCTGTCCGGTTTCCCTGTTAGATTGCTTTGTTTGAAGCTTCGTCTTGTGAGTTCTAATAGCTATCGCCTTCTCAAACTCTCCGGTCAACTGTTCTCCGATGTTGGATAAACATATCTCCCTTTGTTGGTCCATTACCCGTTGATACTTTTGCCATCGCTTGTGTGCATCCGTGATCAGCAGACGTAGCATTCGTCGTCCATGTTGTTCGGTCATCTTTCAAGCCAAAAGTTTGTTGATGAGCGGGCGGTAATGTATACTTGGTGGTAGAATTTGTCCGCAAACATTCATGCAGGAAGTAGAGCTGCTTGTTAGAGGAGGATTGCCGGCTGGCAAAGGTCTCCCATCAGAGAGCGGATGTGAGCGTATCACGCCCGAAATGTTTAGAAATTATTGAGCATACGCTACCTGATGTCGAAGAATGAAACACAACGCCATTCCACCAGCGCAATGGAAAGGAAAACCATCGTCCTACCTTATATCCATGGGATCTCTGAAATGGCAGCGAGGCTTTTACTGCCTCACGGGATCAACACTGCATATGAAGCAACGGAAACCGTTCGGAGTAAACATTTTATGGGAAAAGACCAGCTGAGTAAAGAAGAAACATCAGGTGTGATTTACAAAATTTGCTGCAAACAATGCGAAAAGTACTACGTTGGCCAGACAGGGAAGAAACTTGGTACAAGACTGTATGAACACAGTCTGGCCATCCGCCGCCATGATGAAAAGTCACTAATATCAGTACATATGGATGTCCAAGGCCATCAGTTCGATCTGAAAAAGGCTAATATACTTGGAAGAGCGAAGAACCGCAGAGCGCGTTAGTTCATCGAAGCCTGGCATTCGGGCCGGAACTCAATCAACCAGCACCTGGAACTAGAGGGTGTCTACGAAGTTCTGCATGTGATGACAACAATAAATACCAGATCGACAGGGCGAAGGTGCGACCACTTGACCGACCCACGTGAACGAATCGAAGACTGACATTCAAAGCAGGAACCGATCAATATTCACTTGGATCTGGCAGTGGCTTACGAGGCTCTGCGAATCAGACCCTAATAGACGCACGGAGGATGTTACCTAGTTTGGCATTGAAACGTCTGCAACAAAATTACTCAGTTCGGCGAACACATCAACCCTCTCATCCACACCCCGACCTACAGGTATTCTCAATAATTTCCAAAATTCGAAAAAATCTAGTACGCAGCGTTTGGTGCGCGTTACACTGCCTACTGGCGAGACGCTACTTCGAGAAATCCCCAAATACTGAATTAGTGAAATAATTACCGTAGCCTCGATGCTGTAGTGCGCTGACTGACTAATTCTAAACGACCTTAACCAAAATTTTCAACTCACGTCATTGCTCAATCAACTGAATCACAGCGTGTTGTGTAGTTGCACAACTTGCGAAGGGAAACTGGTTGAGACATACGAGATCGTGAATAATGACGTCCACACCAATCGATCGTGGTAACGCATGATCACTCTGGCTTCTCCGGATCCAACAGAAATTGGCCCGAAATCGAGCTGATGGGTGAGTTTTGCTCGTGAGGTTAAAATCGCCTTCATCAAGCTTTCCCATTTTCACAAGGAATATTGCTATGTCGAAAGCGAACATGTCCAGTGCGCGTCAACCTTTCCATGACAATTTATAGAAGCCATCCCTTTGTATTACTGCCAACGTAACATCCGTGCTTTCTTATAGGCTTTGCCCCCCCAGTACTTCTTTACGGAGAATGCGTGTATTCATTTTTCCTACTGGTGAAAAATCCATAAAGCATAACCAATGCCTTTGACAGGCCTGTGAACATCAACTGTTGTTGGAAGCTGGTAAGTCAAAAGCGGTTCCTCGGAATTTGTTTGTCTGCAAGAACTTGCTTGTACTGGCTGCAAGGAAATCACTTCGTCATTATTGAAATCGGTAACACCCGTGGCTCTTTTCCAGGTCTTCTATTCCCCGCGCAATCTTACAAGCAATGCGACGCGTCAGAGGGTGGGTGACTATTTTGAGCCAAATGAGGAAAAATTTAGCTTCCATCCACCTGATTTTAATTATTGTGTATACGTCTAGTCTAAGTCCAGTTGACTGAGCTATGTGAGACTCTGGGATTCACCTATTCAGTCGATAGCCACGCGGCCATTGTCCGAGGAACTCCGCCGCAATGCAGCGGGGTAAACACTTGGGTACCTGTCTCTCTGCTTGTATCTCCTTAGTTGGTACTACTAAAACAGCCGCACTAGCCAGCAGCATATTTGCGGTGCAAGTACAGCAGCGCTAATTTTTCTCATGCTGTCAACTCTTCGTTGACCTTAAGAAGTCCACCGGTATTAGGCAGATAGGTTGACAAAGGGCTGCCAGTGATTATCAGATGAACAGTCGTCGAGCACACATGTCACGTTCATCGACGAGACGATACCCACTACTTGGATGCTTAGAAATGATGTCGTAACTGGCAACTTGGCACTGGCTGAAATGGTTTTGATGAGCTGAAGTATCACGGATAGTCTCAAATGCATTAGTGAATTTTGGTGGATGTAGAGGAGGTACTACTTCGCCGTGTCAGTATTACAACCGTTACAAAACAAGCCAGACAGTAACGGCCAAGAACGGACCATGCTGCCGCTCCATCAGGAAGAGAAGGCTTGGGAGCCGCAAATATATGTGCAATGGAGATGCATGCAGAAGCCGCGCGCGTCATCCAGCTTCTACTAGGGAGTTCGAAGAGGACTGAAACTGTCGCTGATGAGAGCTGACATCCATGATTGATGCTAGTTGCCAAGACAAGGAAGTTCGCCCTTTGGGCTCTTGCAACATGTATCCGCATGCCTAGACTAATCCTAGTCTGCAAGCTAATGATGCAAACCGCTAGCGCCACAAGGCCATAGGTTCCGTTCCTGATGAAGAAGAGGGATTCGCCCTACGGATTAATCCCAATCATACGAAGCGACTGCTTCGTGCTTTTCCAGGCTTTTGGGTGGTGTTTCGACCTGGAAGCTGCCACGATGAACTTACAATACCATTACATCAACAATCCCATACTCATGGAAATACTTCTTCAAAGTCAAACATTAGGTTTTTATAGATTCGACTAAGGCTTCCAAAGTCTTGCTTTGCGTGAAGCATGCAGTATGGAAATGCTATGGGATCAAAAATGAAAATTCAAGGTAACACATTTGTGAACAGGGTTAACTTGTGTTTACATACAGTGCACTTAGACCCAATGCGTCGTAATAGACATCGTTGAAAACGAAGGAAACATGAGAGAAAGATGAACAAAACATTTGATCAAGAGGCGGAGGCGTCATATATTAAAACCATCGGATGAACTTTAGGATAAGTAACAGTAGATCTAGTTAGGTGGCAACACTGCCTGTGACTACACAGTTTGTTCAGCACAATATGTACATGATTGAGAGGCGCTTATGATTCCAGTTGACGGATGCAGGCAGCCCAAGAAAACTGTGTTTAACCCGAGAATCACATAGCGCCATAGCAACTAGAACGAATCCGTAGTGTCTTCAAGGTGGTTTTTACTCCATTAGGAGGCGACTTTTTCAATGAATCGGAAGAGGCACGTTTGTGAATGATGTAAGATAATTTTGTTGAACGATGCAATTTAATCTATAGTTCACGCACAGTATGAACTCTAACACTAAGGTCTAATCGCACAGCAATCGCTTACGGAAGTCTCCATGACGATATTTCTCATCCATCCTCCGTTGGTATCTTCTCCCTAGGTAACGGATCAAAGCGTATTCCTCTCCCACGGCTTCGATATCACCCACTCTATTGACATCTTTGCAAGCGAATGACACAAACATGGCCATTGCTATGACCTGCGTAGAGGGAGAGATGGATTAAAACCACAATAGAATGCTGTGTCAAACTGGCGCATGTAAGAAGCTGTGGCAGAGGTGCAATTTCCTAGAACGTTTCGTGGAAGTAAGCTCGGTGAGGTAGTTCAAAAGATCGTTGGATGTGCATTTCGCTAATGTTAGATTTGAACAGCGATTTTCCATTGACAATGAGATTTCTCATTTGTGATTCGCAATTTACTGTGAATAAAACGGTTTTTCTAGGATACCACTTGAAATCTTGAGAAACGATCACTGTGTTGGCAGGTCAAACTTTTTAAACGTTTTTCATCATATTTCGATGGAGTTGTATACAGATTCAAACTACTATTCCCTCCCGTGATACAAACAGTATTAGGTACACAGTTAGAGAGAGCCGCATCTATGAATGTGTTAAGTCATAATGCAATCTTAGGAAGTCCGTCATGGGGCGAAGGCCATAGCTAGTTGAATGCTATGGTTTTGAGATCCCAACACGTCGGCAGAATTGTGATAAGAGGCCGTGACCATGGTTGTAACCACCACGAACAAAACGGTGACCATAAAGGGCTAGTTTCTTATCCCTTGGTAGCCAAAACATTCATCTTTATAGTGGGTGTCTTATCACATTCGCGTAACTTACGGCTTTTCAAACAATCACAGTCGATCATTCTTGCCAATACTACATGCAATCGCCGGAAAGAACAGTTGCTAGAAAAGGGCTGCAGACAAAAATGTCCCCTGCTGTTAAGATGCGCATGACGTGTTTGTCACGGAAACGACAAGTTGACATGAATGTATGTGTGTGTGTGTGTGTGTGCGTGTGTGTGTGTGTGCGTAAGCGTACAAGACTCTGAGGTAGTTGAGAGGTGAAAGGACTAAACAAACACTGAACCAGGGGGCATACTGTAACAAGGAAGCAAGACCCATCTGCTTGTCCTCGACACGAAATGTCAAAACTAAATGGTTGGGTAAAATGGCCAGCCTGGTATTAAGGTGACCAAGAGAAAACCGAAGACCTTGAAGTCCAGCGAGGCGAAAGGATGCCTGCACCGTGTGTGTTAATAAATTGCCCGACCAGAATGGAAGTGGGGCCAACACATAGCCGGAAGTCGTGTCTTGCCAATGCGTTCAGTAATTAGATAGTTCGTTTAGATCGATTGTGTGTATTGAATGGGCACATCAAATATGGTTTTTCTCAGTGCAAACACTGATGCTTTAGTCTAGATGAAGAACGAGTAGTTCTACCTGAGCATCAGCCAGTTAAAAATTTTCAGCGGACAATAAAAGTGGACCGACTGCCTGGGTCCGAGAGTGAAGTGCCAACAAAGATACCGGGCGTTAAAGAAACGGCAACTGAGCTTTCGTACGGTAGAATGACCGTTTTGTCCACGAATAACAGCTTTCGTATCTCGACCAGTATTTCGTCCCGGTTTTCTAACTGCTACTCAAATCTGGGTAAAATATGGTGTCAATAGCCGCAGTGTTTACACTGGTCGGGATCACGACGTAAAGGTCTATGCTTTTTACTGAGATCATGCACAATATGGCTATCATGCGATTAATGTACATTTGAAATCTTTTTATTTTTGAATATGGTGCGGAAAGCTGATGATGTATACCCGGTGAGGTTGCAGAACAAACGCAAGACACTGGTGCCATGGTGCTCTGTAAATTCTGACAAAACCGAGGTACAATATCTATCCACGACATAATCTCATCCAAATTCATCCTGATTGTAACGTGCAACTCATTATCCAACTTCATCTCATGCTGGTGTCAGGAGGTCTGCTCTGGAAGTGAACCCTTGCCAGTATCGTTCATGAGCATCTAACGAATATCCTTAACCTAAGTCGAAATAATAGCATCATCAGGTATACGGAAACTCGGTTGAATAGTAACTGTACCCAAGCAAGAAACGCCGAAGTGCCGTCCCTCTAACACATACGTCCGTGAGGCTAGATCTCACTGAGCAACTGCTTGTCCCTTGAGTATTCACAAGCTCTCGTGATGACGCCTACTAGTTTTCTTATAGATCTCAGCGATTCCCGCTGAATTTAGTGTCGTGCATTGCGCATTACAGTATGACTGCTTATGATTCTTGACTGTTCGAATGTATCCAGAAGTTTCGTCAGCTTTGTCTAGCAATGTTGTCTAAGAATGGTATCCAAAAAAGTGTAAGCAGGTTAAGGAGTGATTATTTCAAAATTCGCACCTACTGCATATAGTATGCCCGTGCAGATATCCGAAGCACAAGACATGCGAAGAGTACTCTTCAGCAATTCAGTTCAGGTAAATGCAACGCAGCAAGAGTAAAACAGAAGGAACAATTAGAGCTGATAGAAATGTGATTGACTGACTCATTTAGGTCTAACTGACACGTGAGAAGTGTTTGTAAAAGTATGTGTTCAACTCAGTGCAAAAATTCGTTACGTTTAGATGGGTTATTTTGAAGTGTAGTTGTGGGAATCACAGAGTGCAAACCCAATCAAGATCAGGATCAGTTCAAATACCTGGACCGTAGCCGAAGAAGATGGAAATTAAAGCACTTGTTGTGTGATTGGATTGGGCGGAGAAAGAGAGCGGAGTGGGCCTAAAACTCTGACCAACTCACCTTGAATGGTTGTACCAGTATTACACTGGCGAAGAAAGAAAGGAACAACGAGGTGAGCCATTTCTGGCATGCTGCATCTCCGAAGCTCACACCGTAGAAAGTTGTGAAGACGACTGCGACGCACAGCGATAGAATGAGTAGGATCCAGGCAAGAATGCGCATTTGCCAGGGGAAGGATCGAAACTGTCGATTTTTGCTACTCTTTAAGCTGAAGAATAAGAGCATATACAATTGGCTAAGATGAGGTGGATTCTATAGCGATAAGTGACGGTAGCTTTTAACTATTACTATTTACTCGTTTGCACAATACTGCACGGTTACTGGTCCAAGATGAAACTGAAGGAATGGGGCCAAAAAAATGCAAAGGACCGACAACTATTGAAACGCCAATTTGATATCTATGGCAAAATCAGACGATGCTTCTTGATCAGTGCTGAGGTGTTTGCTGCCACATGACCGTGGTATAGCTGTGCAAATGGGGGGTATTCCTAACTGGAGTCATCATGTTGTAATCACGGTTTGCCTCCAGGCTGTCCGATTAGCGACGGTGTATCAACCTGCACTTGCATCGAGGCATTTGAATGAATTCTGGCCGCTTCTACTTCTCCGGATTAGCACAACATAGCAGATTTTCTGCTCATGTCGTTCACATATGTATAAATTTGATGAAATTCATCAATTTCTGCAATTATTATACAGAGAGCTTACACGAGTAGGCTACACAAGTTAGGTGTGTGTTGTTGACATCATATGTAAAGACAGTAAACAAATTAGCTGTGTTCAAAGGACCCATAAAATATCCTACGGGTTCTGCTAGTATGCAGTACTTTGGTAGGTTATCACCTAACTATAAACAAGGGCAGCATATGTAAGCTGTCCTTCAGGGACACTTGAAGTAATCGGAATGACGCTGCTTTGGTTTAACCACTATTTGTGAACCTATACCTTAGGTGTGTCTAATGGACTTACAATAGTCAATCAATGTTATTTACACCACTGAGTTGTTGCTTTGGTGTGAAGTATCACCACTAATGTGGATGAACCAATGGCAGAATATGATGAGCTAGCACAGGGTGGCACATGATAAAGATATAGACAAAAGGAAACAAGCGGCTATTTATAATGGGGGTTTATACATAAATTATTGCTGCCATTTTCAAAACTTATTTGGGCGCGCAGACTCAGCTACTGCATTTGGTCTGAAGGTATCGTCGCGCGCTTATTCTTTTCCAACACAAGATTGATGCTCGAGTGCGGATCACTTGCCTATTGTCCGATCACCGGTGGCGATGTGCGAAGACTGGAAGGTGTTTAGCATGGGGATACCAGACTCATCCCCAGTCTACTGGTTATGTTGTACGAGGATTGATGTAGGCGACTGGGTCTGTGCACACTGATTTGGAGTTTAACTTATAATGACGCACCAGATATTGCGTCTGGGTCACTTCCGCATGTTGAGATCACTGTTGCACGTTCGCTCCCCAAGCAGTAATTGTGGCACCGGTACGAGCTAGTGGTACCGAACCTAAAGCGGCTAGATCACTCTCTGTACTTCGAGCGGCAAGTGGTGATCTATTAGAACTGGTTGTCCGCAAATAGTCAAGGTGAAATCGGCGTCGGAATTCAAGCAAATTCCTAGACACCCACTTTGCGAATTTCAGATTCAGGAGCGCATCGCACCCGAATAGCCTATGGGGCAGCTGTAATATGCGGCAGACAAGCAGGAAGCAGTGACATGACCGCACGCGTGCACGAACTAATTACGATGGAGCAATGCGGACCTACGTCTACTAGCTCTCTAATTTTAGTATTCCGCATTCGCAGAATGTCCGAATGGGGCAGGTACTTGATATCTTCCCAGATGGGGACTGCAAGATCCTTCAGAGCACTGTCTTTATGTCCTGTAGAGTGTGGTGCGGTCACCAAGTCATTGTTTCTTCTTAAGTTTTCTATCTGTCGGAGGTGAAAACCACGGACTGTATATGCGCTGGTTGCACGTTAGTCGTTCTGTGTCTGTTGACAGCATCAATCGATTAGTCCCGAAAGCAAAGCGAGCTCGTTCGCCCGTTATATATAGAAATTGATCCGAATCAGGACCGGTACAAAACGGGTACGAGGATAGTATACGAGGACAGCGTTCAACTGCCAGTGACCACGTGCATCAGTGGATGTGTTGCAATTCCGTTAACAAGATAAAACTCACGATCTTACAAATGTAGGCGTCAGGCTCATCCACAGTTTACGCAGTATGATGTACGAAGATCGTTGAAAGAGACTGGGGCTGTACTGCCTATCATATCGCCGGTTCCGAGTTAACCTCATTGTGCCTTACCGGATATTACATTTGAGTAAATCCCCTATGTTGGAGCCATTTGCGAGTATGCGCGCAACTAGCAGTACTTGAAGGCACTAGTACAGTCTTGTTTTACCAGATCTGAAGTGGATAAATGTCGCGATATACTTCGAGCGTCAAGGGGTGCAATATTGCAAAAGTTTTTCCAAGAATCAAATAAATTCTTAAGCGCCCATCTTGCGGATTACGTATTTCGAGAGGACCACACTCCTGAATGGAACGTCACACAGCCGAACCGCGTTGGTAGTGCTTGGTAATAAAGGACGTTATTCAGCGCGTGTGCTTGATACTAGATCGATGGAGTAACACAGGTGTGTATCTTCTGGCTCTCTGTTTTTAGGATCCATTATCGTTTCCAAGTTGTAACAGGCAGTACTGTTCTACCACAAATATAGCTCAGCTCACCACTGATGAATTTCGGTGAATGTGATGGACAATACGCTTACCAAACCATATGATCAAGTTAACTAATACTTCTGACAGACGCCTTTACGAATAATGACTATGTGTGTATGCACCGATGACAATTCACACTTGTTTGCTTTTTCGTAACGTCTCATTGAAACGGCTTTTAGCTCAAGCTGTGTTTCCACCATCTAAAAACACTATGGAAGAGTTATTCTCAAGTACAAACATGACAAACCACTCATAAATGTATGTTGATTGTAATTTTGGCATGACATTCAAATCTCGATAACAGAACCGTTGATATCCCCAACTAAAGCCCACGGTTAAAACGCCAGTTTCCAGGACTTCAGAAAGACAGCAATGACCTGGCCTTAGGGAAAGATGTGTTACTGCATCCCTAGACTGCATCAGGGAGAGCCAGAAGACGGCGTCGGTCCGATCACTTATCATCGAGCAATAGTTTGGCTCTCAACACCCAACGCAGCTCAATGGTTCGAAGATGTACTCAAAAGGTCGCCCCACGTTAAACCCCGGTCCATGGAGACAGAGTTCCTGACATCCTTTTTAACATGATTTAACACTATTCACTCTCACTATCACAACTACCACAATATTCAATTTGTTCACGGGCGGATGTACTTGTTCCTGGGAATTCAACACTAACAGTTCGAAAAGTTGGTCCACATAGTTGTACTCTCCGAAAACCTTGTAAGACAGCATTTGCGGAAGCGTTTTACTTTGGGCTTTTCCCATTATCCTGCATTCTGGTCCTACCTAAACCGTTGGAATACTAGATGGATTCTTCAGGGGCTTATTATTAGGCAGTTACTAGGTTGTTTAAGCGTCCTGCGCACACATTTGCAAGAATACGTACAGGGTTGATCAAAGCGAGGTGCAACATCTCCAAATAGTTCATTGTGTAGCCGTGTTTCTTGGTCGCTGCATATCGGGTGTCGAAATTGTCCACCGACCGACAAAAACAATGCGAAATATATTCCTTAAAGTGAAGGATAAACAAAACAAGTGGAAAACATCTGGTGTAATCTGCAAGAAATGCTTTCGTGACTGGGACAACCATTACGTAGGTAAAAGGAAAAAAACCTTGGTACACGACTACGTGAACAAAGCCCAGCCATCCGCCGTCATGATAAGAACTCTCTGATGTCCGTGATATGGATGCTGAAGGCTAGCAGCTTGCCCTGGAGCACTACAAAATCCTCGGATGAACCACAAGCCGGCAAGCAAATGAGCTTATTGAAGCATGGTATTCAAAAAAGAACGAGATCGATAAACGCTTAGATCTCGAAATCGCTTAAGATGCTCTGCGAAACATGATCTTAAAGCCGCACTGACGATCTTGCGTAGTCTGGTAGCGAAACGTCTGCAAAATTATCATTCAGCTCGGAAAATAGTGCAAAACCCCCATCCACATCCTGAGCTACAGATATTCACAACTATTTAATAAATCATCATCCAAATTGTAGTTGTTCATTGTGTTTTCCTTACCGATCTACCAAAATCGTGTGTCCCTATTAGGTGCTGGATGAGCACGGTTGCTGTTAGCCAAACGGTTTTTTTGCTCTCTGATGTCTGTATCTGTTATTGCAGCTGGTGAATATAAGTATCCGCAGTGTTGTATATCAGTATAACAGGCGGCATTCCAAATGCATGAAATGAAGTTGGTTGACTACTCCCTCGGTCTTTAACAGGTGTACATCGTAAGCGCACTAGGTGCAAATGGCATTACTTGGAGTGGAAAATCACAGCAACTCAAATACAAATAAGGCAACTCTGACCAAGTTCCACCAATCTGCGAACTCTCTTCTTTAGGCTGCTTGGCGCACGTAATTTCTGCGTCCATTTTTAGTGCACCTTTATCCGCGTTCCTCTTCTGCGGGGACGTTGGTGTGGTCCGCTGTTGGTCCGTTATCGTCCGCTTTTATTGGTACGTTCTACTACTGCTTTTGGTGCAGTAGTCCGGTGTTGACCAAGCACCATGCGATTATACTGGCACATTAAAAAACAAAATTCGGTCACTTGATAAATAGTGTGCCTGTTTTGGCCAAAGATGTCAGGTGGCATCTAGTACACGTCTGGAAAATGGATCTCCGTTTGATGCTGGATTGGGTATCTCCTATGGAACGCCTTAAAATATGTGGCACCATGTGCTGAAGCACTAGTCCCTAGCTAACCGATTGCAACAGATAGTCAGACGAAATGAACGGGAACTGATGATAAGCATACATCACCGAAAAATACTGTGTGCAGTGGATTGTTGGATAGCACAATCACAATGGTACGGCATTCTACGCCGTGGTTGGTATCAACTCAGTGCATTCGGTATTCCATACGCACAAATGGCATGACTAAGACCAGTCGCAATGAAAGTTTGCATACACCACCATCATAAGCTACTGATGACAGAGCCAGAGGTATGCAGATTGTGGTTCACCTTGGAGGCGCTTGTTCAGTCCAGCTCCATTCTTCCATCGCGTCCTGAGTTTCCGTGACGTTACCCGCACTGAAATCAAGTGCTTCATCCAAATGGTCTTCAACCGTTTCGCGTAAAAATCTTTCATGACTATCGCGAAGACGAGAGTTGCGGAAAATATAAGTCACCACCAACAGAGGAACAAAAGTAATGATGTTGTTTATTATCGCGACGAGCACCTGGGCAGGAAAAAGCAAGAGCAAATAATGAACGGTGAAACTCCGATGAAACTCACTCATTGTGCTGTGTCCTAAACGCTTGTCTTTAGCGACCAGTCCTCATTCGTGGAAATTAAAAATTACATGTTATTAACAAATCTATTACGTATGTTCAGTCCTTAGAGACCTTACTCTCCTCTTTAGCGATCAATGCTTTTTTCATAAGCGGGAGCAACAGATTGGATCACTTGCGCTCATATGATCGGCGACGCGCAACTCTAGGCTTCTAATCTGTATTGCCAACGAAATGCCGTTCGATCATCTGTCCAGCAGTGAGTTAGGACTATCGGTATTGCTGATAAGTGCCAGCTTCTCCGCAAGGAGTTTATCGCCCCGAGTAATATCGCAGTGAATAGGTTGCATTGAAAACATGGTTCTAAGAGACTTGAGCCTGTTACTGCCTCCATCGATTTCAAAGCAACAGTCAAGGTGATGTCATGCACATTCTTACCTCCAATGGCTTCTCATTTTAACCGCATATGCCTTGAAACAAGAATCCACAATAGTAGTTAATCAATGGAACGATGAACACCATTGGTGTTAGTTGAAGGCGTGTTGCTAAAACGTGCCGGATTCCATACAATAATCGATAATCTTTATTTGAAGCATAAACAATTATCCATGGGATGGTCAACAATCAGAGCTGCTTCTAATTCCCATTTGTCTGCACCAAATTTTGTTGATCATAGGCAAAAGAGATAATGTACCATTCGCGCAGCACCAAGAATCGGGGAAGAATTGGTGAGGACGCCAGTCTGCAAACCCTCTCGGGTAGTCCTACTGTTCTAGGGCTTAGTTCGTACCACAAACCATAGAAGGCGATAATAGCCTTCAATAGTGGGGTCAGATGTATATCACGAAATATACAGATTTTATGTGTCGCATAACATTTTGCTTTACATGGTCTCTCTCCTTTGTTTCTGTTACGGGAAAGACAAATCGGAACTATGCCTTCGAGACCTTGATTCCACGTGGGACCTTCTGAGAGTCGCTAGTCTTACCTTACAACAGGTGTACTTCCTGTCCCTTGGGAAGGTGTCTAACGGCTGTGTAACTCTGGTCTCAGGACTACCTCACAAATAATCGAGTGAAGGTATTAGAAACGAAGGGGTTATTAGCCAGAGAAAGCTTCTGGACTATCTTCATGAAATGTGCCGTCCTGGAGCAACTGTCCGCAGCTGGGCCGATAGGCAGGCGGCAGTTGTGGTGCCAGAATTCTACGTATAATCAGTGATTAGACACATAAATGCTATTTTCCACATTCCATTAGTCAAATTAGAACAACAGAAAATAAGCCAAGTTTCTTTTTTCTGTATGAGAACTAATAGACTGTTAGTACACTATTATGAATAATTAGTTATGCACTGAGGTTGGTGTTACACAACTCATACTCCTTCGCTTCAACATCCCCGAATCAAAATAAGAAATCTCTGCGCAACTTCAACGTTTTGCGTTGTACCTTCGTCCTGCTTAAATTCTAGGTAACTAACTTATTTTACCTGAACAAATATATTATTCACGAATATGTTTGGATGTGTTATTGACCAATTGTACGTCTGGTACAAGGACTACAGGTTTCGACCCAGTGTTTCACTCCACCGAGGAGCTGGCTCTGAGAGCCAGCTCCTCGTTGGAGTGAAAACACTGGGTCGAAACCTGTAGTCCTTGTACCAGACGTACAATTGGTCAATAACACATCCAAACATATTCTGGAATAATATATTTGTTCAGGTAAAATAAGTTAGTTACCTAGAATTTAAGCAGGACGAATGGTACAACGCAAAACGTTGAAGTTGCGCAGAGATTTCTTATTTTGATTCGGGATGTTGAAGCGAAGGAGTATGAGTTGTGTAACACCAACCTCAGTGCATAACTAAATTATTCATAATAGTGTACTAACAGTCTATTAGTTCTCATACAGAAAAAAGAAACTTGGCTTATTTTCTGTTGTTCTAATTTGACTAATGGAATGTGGAATATAGCATTTATGTGTTTAATCACTGATTATACGTAGAATTCTGGCACCACAACTGCCGCCTGCCTATCGGCCCAGCTGCGGACAGTTGCTCCAGGACGGCACATTTCATGAAGATAGTCCAGAAGCTTTCTCTGGCTAATAACCCTTCGTTTCTAATACCTTCACTCGATTATTTGTGAGGTAAGTCCTGAGACCAGAGTTACACAGCCGTTAGACACCTTCCCCAAGGGACAGGAAGTACAACTGTTGTAAGGTAAGACTAGCGACTCTCAGAAGGTCCCACGTGGAATCAAGGTCTCGAAGGCATAGTTCCGATTTGTCTTTCCCGTAACAGAAACAAAGGAGCGAGACCATGTAAAGCAAAATGTATGCGACACATAAAATCTGTATATTTTCGTGATATTCATCTGACCCCACTATTGAAGGCTATTATCGCCTTCTATGGTTTGTGGTACGAACTAAGCCCTAGAACAGTAGGACTACCCGAGAGTGTTTGCAGACTGGCGTCCTCACCAATTCTTCCCCGATTCTTGGTGCTGCGCGAATGGTACATTATCTCTTTTGCCTATGATCAACAAAACTTGGTGCAGACAAATGGGAATTAGAAGCAGCTCTGATTGTTGACCATCCCATGGATAATTGTTTATGCTTCAAATAAAGATTATCGATTATTGTATGGAATCCGGCACGTTTTAGCAACACGCCTTCAACTAACACCAATGGTGTTCATCGTTCCATTGATTAACTACTATTGTGGATTCTTGTTTCAAGGCATATGCGGTTAAAATGAGAAGTCATTGGAGGTAAGAACTTGCATGACATCATCTTGACTGTCGCTTTGAAATCGATGGAGGCAGTAACAGGCGCAAATCTCTTAGAACCATGTTTTCAATGCAACCTATTCACTGCGATATTACTCGGGGCGATAAACTCCTTGCGGAGAAGCTGACACTTATCAGCAATACCGATAGTCCTAACTCACTGCTGGACATGATGCTCGAACAGCATTTCGTTGTCAATAACAGATTAGAAGCCTAGAGTTGCGCGTCGCCGATCATATGAGCGCAAGTGATCCAATCTGTTGCTCCCGCTTATGAAAAAAGCATTGATCGCTAAAGAGGAGAGTAAGGTCTCTACGGACAGTTCATACGTATTAGATTTGTTAATAACATGTAATTTTTAATTTCCACGAATGAGGACTGGTCGCTAAAGACAAGCGTTTAGGACACAGCACAATGAGTGGGTTTCAGCGGTGTTTCACTGTTCATCATTTTCTCCTGCTTTTTCCTCCTCAGGTGCTCGTCGCGATAACAAACAACATCATTACTTTTGTTCCTCTGTTGGTGGTGACTTATATTTTCCGCAACTCTCGTCTTCGCGATAGTCATGAAAGATTTTTACGCGAAACGGTTGAAGACCATTTGGATGAAGCACTTGATTTCAGTGCGGGTAACGTCACGGAAACTCAGGACGCGATGGAAGAATGGAGCTGGACTGAACAAGCGCCTCCAAGGTGAACCACAATCTGCATACCTCTGGCTCTGTCATCAGTAGCTTATGATGGTGGTGTATGCAAACTTTCATTGCGACTGGTCTTAGTCATGCCATTTGTGCTTATGGAATACCGCATGCACTGAGTTGATACCAACCACGGCGTAGAATGCCGTACCATTGTGATTGTGCTATCCAACAATCCACTGCACACAGTATTTTTCGGTGATGTATGCTTAGCATCAATTCCCGTTCATTTCGTTTGACTATCTGTTGCAATCGGTTAGCTAGGGACTAGTGCTTCAGCACATGGTGCCGCATATTTTAAGGCGTTCCATAGATACCCACTTCAGCATCAAACGGTGAACCATTTCCCAGACGTGTACTGGATGCCACCTGACATCTTTGGCTAAAACAGACACGCTATTTAGCAAGTGACCGAATTTTGTTTTTTAATGTGCCAGTATAATCGCATGGTGCTTGGTCAACACCAGACTACTGCACCAATAAGCAGTAGTAGAAGGTACCAATAAAAGCGGAGGATAACGGGCCAACAGCCGACCACACCAACGTCCCAGCAGAAGAGGAACGCGGATATATTGGCACTAAAAATGGATGCAGAAATTGCGTGCGCCATGCATCCTAAAGAAGAGAGTTCTCAGATTGGTAGAACTTGATTAGAGTTGCCTTAGTTGCATTTGAGTTGCTGTGATTTTCCACTCCAAGTAATGCCATTTGCACCTAGTGCGCTTACGATGTACACCTGTTAAAGACCGAGGGAGTAGTCAACCAACTTCATTTCATGCATTTGGAATGCCGCCTGTTATACTGGCATACAACACTGCGGATACATATATTCACCAGCTGCAACAACAGATACAGACATCAGAGAGCAAAAAGAACCGTTTGGCTAACAGCAACCGTGCTCATCCAGCACCTAATAGGGACACACGATTTTGGTAGATCGGTAAGGAAAACACAATGAACAACTACAATTTGGATGATGATTTATTAAATAGTTGTGAATATCTGTAGCTCAGGATGTGGATGGGGGTTTTGCACTATTTTCCGAGCTGAATGATAACTTTGCAGACGTTTCGCTACCAGACTACGCAAGATCGTCAGTGCGGCTTTAAGATCATGTTTCGCAGAGCATCTTAAGCGATTTCGAGATCTAAGCGTTTATCGATCTCGTTCTTTTTTGAATACCATGCTTCAATAACCTTATTTGCTTGCCGGCTTGTGGTTCATCCGAGGATTTTGTAGTGCTCCAGGGCAAGCTGCTAGCCTTCAGCATCCATATCACGGACATCAGAGAGTTCTTATCATGACGGCGGATGGCTGGGCTTTGTTCACGTAGTCGTGTACCAAGGTTTTTTTTCCTTTTACCTACGTAGTGGTTGTCCCAGTCACGAAAGCATTTCTTGCAGATTACACCAGAGGTTTTCCACTTGTTTTGTTTATCCTTCACTTTAAGGAATATATTTCGCATTGTTTTTGTCGGTCGGTGGACAATTTCGACACCCGATATGCAGCGACCAGGAAACACGGCTACACAATGAACTATTTGAAGATGTTGCACCTCGCTTTGATCAACCCTGTACGTATTCTTGCAAATGTGTGCGAGGACGCTTAAACAACCTAGTAACTGCCTAATAGTAAGCCCCTGAAGAATCCATCTAGTATTCCAACGGTTTAGGTAGGACCAGAACGCAGGATAATGGGAAAAGCCCAAAGTAAAACGCTTCCGCAAATGCTGTCTTACAAGGTTTTCGGAGAGTACAACTATGTGGACCAACTTTTCGAACTGTTAGTGTTGAATTCCCAGGAACAAGTACATCCGCCCGTGAACAAATTGAATATTGTGGTAGTTGTGATAGTGAGAGTGAATAGTGTTAAATCATGTTAAAAAGGATGCCAGGAACTCCGTCTCCATGGATCGGGGTTTAACGTGGGGCGACCTTTTGAGTACATCTTCGAACCATTGAGCTGCGTTGTGGTGTTGAGAGCCAAACTATTGCTCGATGATAAGTGATCGGACCGACGCCGTCTTCTGGCTCTCCCTGATGCAGTCTAGGGATGCAGTAACACATCTTTCCCTAACGCCAGGTCATTGCTGTCTTTCTGAAGTCCTGGAAACTGGCGTTTTAACCGTGGTCTTTAGTTGGGGATATCAACGGTTCTGTTATCGAGATTTGAATGTCATGCCAAAATTACAATCAACATACATTTATGAGTGGTTTGTCATGTTTTTACTTGAGAATAACTCTTCCATAGTGTTTTTAGATGGTGGAAACACAGCTTGAGCTAAAAGCCGTTTCAATGAGACGTTACGAAAAAGCAAACAGGTGTGAATTGTCATCGGTGCATACACACATAGTCATTATTCGTAAAGGCGTCTGTCAGAAGTATTAGTTAACTTGATCATATGGTTTGGTAAGCGTATTGTCCATCACATTCACCGAAATCCATCAGTGGTGAGCTGAGCTATATTTGTGGTAGAACAGTACTGCCTGTTACAACTTGGTAACGATAATGGATCCTAAAAACAGAGAGCCAGAAGATACACACCTGTGTTACTCCATCGATCTAGTATCAAGCACACGCGCTGAATAACGTCCTTTATTACCAAGCACTACCAACGCGGTTCGCCTGTGTGACGTTCCATTCCGGAGTGTGGTCCTCTCGAAATACGTAATCCGCAAGATGGGCGCTTAAGAATTTATTTGATTCTTGGAAAAACTTTTGCAATATTCCACCCCTTGACGCTCGAAGTATATCGCGACATTTATCCACTTCAGATCTGGTAAAACAAGACTGTACTAGTGCCTTCAAGTACTGCTAGTTGCGCGCATACTCGCAAATGGCTTCAACATAGGGGATTTACTCAAATGTAATATCCGGTAAGGCACAATGAGGTTAACTCGGAACCGGCGATATGATAGGCAGTACAGCCCCAGTCTCTTTCAACGATCTTCGTACATCATACTGCGTAAACTGTGGATGAGCCTGACGCCTACATTTGTAAGATCGTGAGTTTTATCTTGTTAACGGAATTGCAACACATCCACTGATGCACGTGGTCACTGGCAGTTGAACGCTGTCCTCGTATACTATCCTCGTACCCGTTTTGTACCGGTCCTGATTCGGATCAATTTCTATATATAACGGGCGAACGAGCTCGCTTTGCTTTCGGGACTAATCGATTGATGCTGTCAACAGACACAGAACGACTAACGTGCAACCAGCGCATATACAGTCCGTGATTTTCTCCTCCGACAGAAAGAAAACTTAAGAAGAAACAATGACTTGGTGACCGCACCACACTCTACAGGACATAAAGACAGTGCTCTGAAGGATCTTGCAGTCCCCATCTGGGAAGATATCAAGTACCTGCCCCATTCGGACATTCTGCGAATGCGGAATACTAAAATTAGAGAGCTAGTAGACGTAGGTCCGCATTGCTCCATCGTAATTAGTTCGTGCACGCGTGCGGTCATGTCACTGCTTCCTGCTTGTCTGCCGCATATTACAGCTGCCCCATAGGCTATTCGGATGCGATGCGCTCCTGAATCTGAAATTCGCAAAGTGGGTGTCTAGGAATTTGCTTGAATTCCGACGCCGATTTCACCTTGACTATTTGCGGACAACCAGTTCTAATAGATCACCACTTGCCGCTCGAAGTACAGAGAGTGATCTAGCCGCTTTAGGTTCGGTACCACTAGCTCGTACCGGTGCCACAATTACTGCTTGGGGAGCGAACGTGCAACAGTGATCTCAACATGCGGAAGTGACCCAGACGCAATATCTCGTGCGTCATTATAAGTTAAACTCCAAATCAGTGTGCACAGACCCAGTCGCCTACATCAATCCTCGTACAACATAACCAGTAGACTGGGGATGAGTCTGGTATCCCCATGCTAAACACCTTCCAGTCTTCGCACATCGCCACTGGTGATCGGACAATAGGCAAGTGATCCGCACTCGAGCATCAATCTTGTGTTGGAAAAGAATAAGCGCGCGACGATACCTTCAGACCAAATGCAGAAGCTGAGTCTGCGCGCCCAAATAAGTTTTGAAAATGGCAGCAATAATTTATGTATAAACCCCCATTATAAATAGCCGCTTGTTTCCTTTTGTCTATATCTTTATCATGTGCCACCCTGTGCTAGCTCATCATATTCTGCCATTGGTTCATCCACATTAGTGGTGATACTTCACACCAAAGCAACAACTCAGTGGTGTAAATAACATTGATTGACTATTGTAAGTCCATTAGACACACCTAAGGTATAGGTTCACAAATAGTGGTTAAACCAAAGCAGCGTCATTCCGATTACTTCAAGTGTCTCTGAAGGACAGCTTACATAGGCTACCCTTGTTTATAGTTAGGTGATAACCTACCAAAGTACTGCATACTAGCAGAACCCGTAGGATATTTTATGGGTCCTTTGAACACAGCTAATTTGTTTACTGTCTTTACATATGATGTCAACAACACACACCTAATTTGTGTAGCCTACTCGTGTAAGCTCTCTGTATAATAATTGCAGAAATTGATGAATTTCGTCAAATTTATACATATGTGAACGACATGAGCAGAAAATCTGCTATGTTGTGCTAATCCGGAGAAGTAGAAGCGGCCAGAATTCATTCAAATGCCTCGATGCAAGTGCAGGTTGATACACCGTCACTAATCGAACAGCCTGGAGGCAAACCATGATTACAACATGATGACTCCAGTTAGGAATACCCCCCATTTGCACAGCTATACCACGGTCATGTGGTAGCAAACACCTCAGCACTGATCAAGAAGCATCGTCTGATTTTGCCATAGATATCAAATTGGCGTTTCAATAGTTGTCGGTCCTTTGCTTTTTCTTTTGGCCCCATTCCTTCAGTTTCATCTTGGACCAGTAACCGTGCAGTATTGTGCAAACGAGTAAATAGTAATAGTTAAAAGCTACCGTCACTTATCGCTATAGAATCCACCTCATCTTAGCCAATTGTATATGCTCTTATTCTTCAGCTTAAAGAGTAGCAAAAATCGACAGTTTCGATCCTTCCCCTGGCAAATGCGCATTCTTGCCTGGATCCTACTCATTCTATCGCTGTGCGTCGCAGTCGTCTTCACAACTTTCTACGGTGTGAGCTTCGGAGATGCAGCATGTCAGAAATGGCTCACCTCGTTGTTCCTTTCTTTCTTCGCCAGTGTAATACTGGTACAACCATTCAAGGTGAGTTGGTCAGAGTTTTAGGCCCACTCCGCTCTCTTTCTCCGCCCAATCCAATCACACAATAAGTGCTTTAATTTCCATCTTCTTCGGCTACGGTCCAGGTATATGAACTGATTCCGATCTTGATTGAGTTTGCACCGCGTGACTCCCACAATTATGCTTCAAAATAACCCATCCAAACGAAACGAATTTTTGCACTGAGTTGAACACATATTTTTACAAACGCTTCTCGCGTGTTAGTTAGGCCTAAATGAGTCAATCAATCACATTTCTATCAGCGCCAAATGTCACTTCTGTTTCACCCTTGCTGCATTGTATTTACCTGAACTGAATTGCTAAAGAGTACTTTTCGCATATCTTGTGCTTCGGATATCTGCACTGGCATAATGTATGAAGTAGTTGCAAATTTTGAAATAATCACTCATTAACCTGCTTACACTTTAATGAATACCATTTTTAGACAACATTACTAGACAAAGCTGACGAAACTTATGGATACATTTGAACAGTCAAGAATCATAAGCAGTCATGCTGTAATGCGCAATGCACGACATTAAATTCAGTGGGAATCGCTGAGATCTATAAGAAAACTAGTAGGCGTCATCCGAACGAGAGCTTGTAAATACTCAAGAGACAAGCAGTTGCTCATTGAGATTTAACCTCACGGACGTATGTGTTGGAGGGACGCCACTTCGGGGTTTCTTGGTTGGGTACAGTTACTATTCAACCGGGTTTCCATATGCCTGATGATGCTATTATTTCGACTTAAGTTAAGGATATTCGTTAGATGCTCATGAACGATACGGGCAAGGGTTCACTTCCAGAGTGGACTTTCTGACATCAGCATGAGATGAAGTTGGACAATGAGTTGCATGTTCCAATCAAGATGAGTTTGGATGAGATTAAGTCGTGGATGGATATTTTACCTCGGTCTTGTCAGAATTTACAAAGCGGCATGGCATCAGTGTCTTCCGTTTGTTCTGCAACCTCACTGGGTATACATCATCAGCTCTCGGCATCACAGTAAAAAATAAAAAGATTTCAAACGTACATTAGGCATATGATAGCCATATTGTGTATGATCTCAGTAAAAAGCATAGAACTTTACATCGTGATCCCGACCAGTGTAAACACTGCGGCTATTGACACCATATTTTACCCGGACTTGAGTAGCTGTTCGAAAACCGGGACGAAATATTGGTCGAGATACGAAAGCTGTTATTCGTGGACCAAACGGTTATTCTACCGTACGAAAGCTCAGTTTCCGTTTCTTTAACGCCTGGTTTCTTTGTTGCCACTTCACTCTCGGACCCAGGCAGTCGGTCCACTTTTATTGTCCGCTGAAAATTTCGTACTGGCTGATGCTCAGGTAGAACTACTCGTTCTTAATATAGACTAAAGCATCAGTGTTTGCACTGAGAAAAACTATATTTTATGTGCCCCATTCAACGCACACAATTGACCTAAACGAGCTATTTAATTACTGAACGCATTGGCAGGACACGACTTCCGGCTATTTGTTGGCTCACTTCCATTCTGGTCGGGCAATTTATTAACACGCACGGTGCGAACATCCTTTCTCCTCGTTGGACTTCAAGCTCCTCGGTTTTCTCTTGGTCACGTTAATACCAGGCTGGCCATTTTACCCAACCATTTAGTTTTGACATTTCGTGTCGCGGACGAGCAGATGGGTCTAGTTTCCTTGTTACAGAATGTCCCCTGGTTAGTGTTTGTTTAGTCCTTTCACCTCTCAACTACCTCAGAGCTCTTGTACGCTTACGCACACACACACACACGCAACACACACACACAGCACACTACATTCAATGTCAACTTGTCGTTTCCGTGGACACAACACGTCATGCGCATCTTAACAGCAGGGGACATTTTATGTCTGCAGCCCTTTTCTAGCAACTGTTTCTTTCCGGCGATTGCATGGTAGTATTGGCAAGAATGGATCGTGACTGTGATTGTTTGAAAAGACCGCTAAGTTACGCGAAATGTGATAAGGACACCCACTATAAAGATGAATGTTTTGGGCTACCAAGGGATAAGAAACTAGCCCTTAGGGTCACCGTTATTTGTTCGGTGTGGGTTACAACCATGGTCACGGCCTCTTATCACAATTCTGTCGACGTGTTGGGATCTCAACAACCATAGCATTCCAACTAGCTATGGCCTTCGCCCCATGACGGACTTCCTAAGATTTGCATTATGACTTAACGACATTCATAGATGCGGCTCTCTCTAACTGTGTACCTAATACTGTTTGTATCACGGTAGGGAATAGTAGTTTGAATCTGTATACAACTCCATCGAAATATGATGAAAAACGTTTAAAAAAGTTTGACCTTGCCAACACAGTGGTCGTTTCTCAAGATTTCAAGTGGTATCCTAGAAAAACCGTTTTATTCACAGTAAATTTGCGAATCACAAATGAGAAATCTCATTGTCAATGGATAAAATCGCTGTTCAAATCTAACATTAGCGAAATGCACATCCAACGATCTTTTGAACTACCTCACCGAGCTTACTTCCACGAAACGTTCTAGGAAATTGCACCTCTGGCACAGCTTCTTACATGCGCCAGTTTGACACAGCATTCTATTGTGGTTTTAATCCATCTCTCCCTCTACGCAGGTCATAGCAATGGCCATGTTTGTGTCATTCGCTTGCAAAGATGTCAATAGAGTGGGTGATATCGAAGCCGTGGGAGAGGAATACGCTTTGATCCGTTACCTAGGGAGAAGATACCAACGGAGGATGGATGAGAAATATCGTCATGGAGACTTCCGTAAGCAATTGCTATGCGATTAGACCTTAGTCTTAGAGTTTATACTGTGCGTGAACTATAGCTTAAATGGCATCGTTCAACAAAATTATCTTACATCATTCACAAACGTGCCTCTTCCGATTCATCGAAAAAGTCGCCTCCTAATGGAGTAAAAACCAGCTTGAAGACACTACGGATTCGTTCTAGTTGCTATGGCGCTATGTGATTCTCGGGTTCAACACAGTTTTCTTGGGCTGCCTGCATCCGTCAACTGGAATCATAAGCGCCTCTCAATCATGTACATATTGTGCTGAACAAACTGTGTAGTCACAGGCAGTGTTGCCACCTAACTAGATCTACTGTTACTTATCCTAAAGTTCATCCGATGGTTTTAATACATGACGCCTCCGCCTCTTGATCAAATGTTTTGTTCATCTTTCTCTCATGTTTCCTTCGTTTTCAACGATGTCTATTACGACGCATTAGGTCTAAGTGCACTGTATGTAAACACAAGTTAACCCTGTTCACAAATGTGTTACCTTGAATTTTCATTTTTGATCCCATAGCATTTCCATACTGCATGCTTCACGCAAAGCAAGACTTTGGAAGCCTTAGTCGAATCTATAAAAACCTAATGTTTGACTTTGAAGAAGTATTTCCATGAGTATGGGATTGTTGATGTAATGGTATTGTAAGTTCATCGTGGCAGCTTCCAGGTCGAAACACCACCCAAAAGCCTGGAAAAGCACGAAGCAGTCGCTTCGTATGATTGGGATTAATCCGTAGGGCGAATCCCTCTTCTTCATCAGGAACGGAACCTATGGCCTTGTGGCGCTAGCGATTTGCATCATTAGCTTGCAGACTAGGATTAGTCTAGGCATGCGGATACATGTTGCAAGAGCCCAAAGTGCGAACTTCCTTGTCTTGGCAACTAGCATCAATCATGGATGTCAGCTCTCATCAGCGACAGTTTCAGTCCTCTTCGAACTCCCTAGTAGAAGCTGGATGACGCGCGCGGCTTCTGCATGCATCTCCATTGCACATATATTTGCGGCTCCCAAGCCTTCTCTTCCTGATGGAGCGGCAGCATGGTCCGTTCTTGGCCGTTACGGTCTGGCTTGTTTTGTAACGGTTGTAATACTGACACGGCGAAGTAGTACCTCCTCTACATCCACCAAAATTCACTAATGCATCTGAGACTATCCGTGATACTTCAGCTCATCAAAACCATTTCAGCCAGTGCCAAGTTGCCAGTTACGACATCATTTCTAAGCATCCAAGTAGTGGGTATCGTCTCGTCGATGAACGTGACATGTGTGCTCGACGACTGTTCATCTGATAATCACTGGCAGCCCTTTGTCAACCTATCTGCCTAATACCGGTGGACTTCTTAAGGTCAACGAAGAGTTGACAGCATGAGAAAAATTAGCGCTGCTGTACTTGCACCGCAAATATGCTGCTGGCTAGTGCGGCGCTGTTTTAGTAGTATCAACTAAGGAGATACAAGCAGAGAGACAGGTACCCAAGTGTTTACCCCGCTGCATTGCGGCGGAGTTCCTCAGACAATGGCCGAGTGGCTATCGACTGAATAGGTGAATCCCAGAGTCTCACATAGCTCACAGTCAACTGGACTTAGACTAGACGTATACACAATAATTAAAATCAGGTGGATGGTAGCTAAATTTTTTCCTCATTTGGCTCAAAATAGTCACCCACCCTCTGACGCGTCGCATTGCTTGTAAGATTGCGCGGGGAATAGAAGACCTGGAAAAGAGCCACGGGTGTTACCGATTTCAATAATGACGAAGTGTATTTCCTTGACAGCCAGTACAAGCAAGTTCTTGCAGACAACAAATTCCGTGAGGAACCGCTTTTGATTACAGCTTCCAACGACAGTTGATGTTCACCAAGCCTGTCAAAGGCATTGGTTATGCTTTATGGATTTTTCACCAGTAGGAAAAATGAATACACGCATTCTCCGTAAAGAAGTACTGGGGGGGCAAAGCCTATAAGAAAGCACGGATGTTACGTTGGCAGTAATACAAAGGGATGGCTTCTATAAATTGTCATGGAAAGGTTGACGCGCACTGGACATGTTCGCTTTCGACATAGCAATATTCCTTGTGAAAATGGGAAAGCTTGATGAAGGCGATTTTAACCTCACGAGCAAAACTCACCCATCAGCTCGATTTCGGGCCAATTACTGTTGGATGCGGAGAAGCCAGAGTGATCATGCGTTACCACGATCGATTGGTGTGGACGTCATTATTCACGATCTCGTATGTCTCAACCAGTTTCCCTTCGCAAGTTGTGCAACTACACAACACGCTGTGATTCAGTTGATTGAGCAATGACGTGAGTTGAAAATTTTGGTTAAGGTCGTTTAGAATTAGTCAGTCAGCGCACTACAGCATCGAGGCTACGGTAATGTTTTCACTAATTCAGTATCTAGGGGATTTCTCGTAAGTAGACGTCTCGCCAGTAGGGCAGTGTAACGCGCACCAAACGCTGCGTACTAGCTTTTTTCAAATTTTGGAAAATTATTGAGAATAACCTGTAGGTCGGGGTGTGGATGAGAGGGTTGATTTGTTCGCCGAGCTGAGTAATTTTGTTGCAGACGTTTCAATGCCAAACTAGGCAAAATCCTCCGTGCGTCTATTAGGGTCTGATTCGCAGAGCCTCGTAAGCAACTGCCAGATCCAAGTGAATATTGATCGGCTCCTGCTTTGAATGTCAGTCTTCGATTCGTTCACGAGGGTCGGTCAAGTGGTCGCACCTTCGCCCTGTCGATCTGGTATTTATTGTTGTCAGTCACATTGCAGAACTTCGTAGACACCCTCTAGTTCCAGGTGCTTGTTGATTGAGTTCCGGCCCAAATGCCAGGCTTCGATGAACTAACGCGCTCTACGGTTCTTCGCTCTTCCAAGTATATTAGCCTTTTTCAGATCGAACGGATGGCCTTGGACATCCATATGTACTGATATTAGTGACTTTTCATCATGGCGGCGGATGGCCAGACTGTGTTCATACAGTCTTGTACCAAGTTTCTTCCCTGTCTGGCCAACGTAGTACTTGTCACAATGTTTGCAGCAAATTTTGTAAATCACACCTGATGTTTCTTCTTTACTCAGCTGGTCTTTTACCCTAAAATGTTTACTCCGAACGGTTTCCGTTGCTTCATGTGCAACGTTGATCCCGTGAGGCATTAAAAGCCTCGCTGCCATTTCAGAGATCCCATGGATATAAGGTAGGACGATGGTTTTCCTTTCCATTGCGCTGGTGGAAGGGGGTTGTGGTTGATTCTTCGACATCAGGCAGCGTATGCTCACTAATTTCTAAACACTTCGGGCGTGATACACTTACATCCGCTCTCTGATGGGAGACCTTTGCCAGCCGGCAATCCTCTTCTAACAAGCAGCTCTACTTCCTGCATGAATGTTTGCGGACAAATTCTACCACCAAGTATACATTACCGCCCGTTCATCAACAAACTTTTGGCTTGAAAAATGACCGAACAACATGGACGACGAATGCTACGTCTGCTGATCACGGATGCACACAACCGATGGCAAAGTATCAACGGGTAATGGACACAACAAAGCGAGATATGTTTATCCAACAGCGGAGAACAGTTGACCGGAGAGCTTGAGAAGGCGATAGCTATTAGAACTCACAAGACGAAGCTTCAAACAAAGCAGAAGCTAAAAGGGAAGCTGGACAGGATCTCGCAACAGAAACCAACAAATGAAGAAGATGCCTGGATTAAGAATCTATCCAAACGAACTCTATCAGCTACAGAACGAGCAGTCATTGTGCGAGGTCTGCAAGTCAGTTACAAAGATGCTAATCCCATTAATTTCCTTGCCGCACTTGATTCGACGCTGGCCACATGCAACATCGCAGCGGAAGCCCAACATGTAATTCGACATAGCATCATCCCCGCTCCAAGTCACAGTGGCAAAGAATATATTAAACGTGAGCCAACAAAAGGCATTGAAAAGCCTCAGAAGAGACAAAACTATCATTAGATTATCGGCAGACAAGGGACGAAGCACGATAATAATGGAAAAAACTGACTACATGAAGAAGGCAAAAGAACTATTCGGAAACCTGAACACCTACTAGCTGATAAGTGAAGACCCTACAAAATGTCTGGAAAGCCAGATCAAACGAGCACTTCAAAGACTGGAACAAATGGGACAGATCACGAAGTTAGAACATAGCAAAATGAAACCCGAGGATTCAGTGATACCACGGTTCTACGGTCTACCCAAAGTACACAAAATTGGGGTATCGCTTCGCCTATCGTGTCAGTACCCGGGACACCGAATTACAAGCTGTCTAAAGCACTCCGGAGACGACTGAAACAGCTAATTGTAGACTCCGAGCATTCAATCAAATCAGCAAGATAATTCCTTTTAAAACTAAGGAATAACAATAGCAAGTGACCAGACGATGGTATCCTTTGATGTCACCGCTTTATTCACAACAATTGACATGCAATTGGCAAGGCTAACAATGATGGCTCCACTTGAACAACACGTAGCGGCAACTACGAATAACCGAATTGGAGTCCCACAACTGATGGAATTGCTTGATTTCTGTCTCACCACACACTTCACTTTCAATGGGTAAACGTACAAACCGATAATGTGCACATAAATGAGCTCACCAAGCTCTGGACTGGTAGCCGAGGCACTGGAACAAAAGGCCCTGCCGATGATGGAGCCCAAACTTTGAGTACATTACGTGGATGATACCTTTATCATCATCAACCGATCCAAACTACAAGAACCACATCACCATATCAATAATATTTTACCCGGCATCCTTATCATCAAACAGCAGGAGAACAACGCCCAGTTGCCACTCTTGGACGTGCTCATCAAAAAACCTGCTTCCCGGCCCCTGGAAACAACAGTCTATCGAAAAGCGACTCACGCTGTTCAGATCTTAAACTAATGCAGTAATCACCCGGCCATTTACAAACGCAGTTGCGTCAGGACACTTTTCAAACGGGCCCAAACACACTGTAGCAAGCTGCAACTGAGGAAAGCGGAGGAAGGCCACCTATTTAACATGTTTCAGCGGAATTCGTACCCTAAAAGCTTTATTCTACGCTGCCTGATGTCGAAGAATGAAACACAACGCCATTCCACCAGCGCAATGGAAAGGAAAACCATCGTCCTACCTTATATCCATGGGATCTCTGAAATGGCAGCGAGGCTTTTACTGCCTCACGGGATCAACACTGCATATGAAGCAACGGAAACTGTTCGGAGTAAACGTTTTAAGGTAAAAGGCCAGCTGAGTAAAGAAGAAACATCAGGTGTGATTTACAAAATTTGCTGCAAACAATGTGACAAGTACTACGTTGGCCAGACAGGGAAGAAACTTGGTACAAGACTGTATGAACACAGTCTGGCCATCCGCCGCCATGATGAAAAGTCACTAATGTCAGTACATATGGATGTCCAAGGCCATCAGTTCGATCTGAAAAAGGTTAATATACTTGGAAGAGCGAAGAACCGCAGAGCGCGTTAGTTCATCGAAGCCTGGCATTCGGGCCGGAACTCAATCAACAAGCACCTGGAACTAGAGGGTGTCTACGAAGTTCTGCATGTGATGACAACAATAAATACCAGATCGACAGGGCGAAGGTGCGACCACTTGACCGACCCACGTGAACGAATCGAAGACTGACATTCAAAGCAGGAGCCGATCAATATTCACTTGGATCTGGCAGTGGCTTACGAGGCTCTGCGAATCAGACCCTAATAGACGCACGGAGGATGTTACCTAGTTTGGCATTGAAACGTCTGCAACAGAATTACTCAGCTCGGCGAACACATCAACCCTCTCATTTTCGAACTTTACCCTCTGTGACAGGCACACATTAAGAAATTAGGGCGTATTCCCGGCAACTTCGCAGGTGAACTGCCATTATTCTGCCCGGACTTGATTAGACGACTTTGACAAGCTTCCTCGCTGCTTTCTACCGGTTTCGCTTTGTATAATGTATAGTACTAGGTACGACCATCTTCATTAACGTGACCTATGGACACATTAGCTTGCCGGACAAGAGTTACTACTTAATGTTATAGGCTGCGCCGTGCCCGAAGTTGTTGCAACCATACCTTAGCGGATAACTCAAATGGATCATCTCTTGAAGACTTACAGAGAAACACCACTGACTGGAATACCAGTGACATTTTGCACTAGCTCACCCATCTAGTTGAGATATAAATGATCTAAAGAATTCGAGAAACGGTCCAGGTGATAGGGGACTAGGTTAGTCTGATGTAGCTCTGCAAATGTGTCGTACGTTATTTTCCACCTGGTTCGAAGACTTGATCAGCTCACGGGTAACAAAGATGAAATAAGTAGATATGATAATTCTATCGCGTGCAGGGGCAAAGAGCAGTATAAGAAATATTCAAAGTGAATAAGGAATTTATCGCGACCCATTGGGACAATTTGTTGTTCCATAAAGTTTGTATTACTCGATGAGCTAGTATGAATCGGGACTGCATGCTGATTAAAGCTTTAGATGCTAGTTGAGCTATAAATGCTGTGATTATTGTTTACCTCTTGCAGTGAAGAGAAACTACGCGCCACACAAACTGGCCATCCAGACACCAAGTTCGGAAGAGCTGGAACGCGCCCGGGATTACAGGATCAAACATCGACGTGCCCGCGACATCATCCGCGAAATATTTTTCTACCTTCTCTTTCTGATCGTTTTACATGTGGTCACACTGAGTTTCCGGGATCCTTATGGCTTTCATCTGAAAAGTAACATCGAACGTACTTTCTTCAAGAATTCGTTCGACAAAGTAAGTAACGCTGAATCGGAAATTGTGTCGTACAAACCAGTTTTTAGACAGAACACCGGTTGCCAAGCAATCCCCGTTACAGATGGAACAATGCTTCTTACTGCGGTAGGGCGCGTCATGCAGTTTACAGATCGTACTGCGGCATAACACAGAGCAGGAGGGTTATGTTTACAAATTGTAAGGATGCTTCTCTCACCATTGGAAAATAACAGAGTTCGTAAGGGTGCCAAATCCGGTTACTTCGTAATGCCAGCAAAATAATTCACGGTAGCAGAAAACTAGTCGTTAGAGCGTTAATTCAACACTATTCACTCGCAGGTGTAGCCTGCGACCGTATGTATGAATGAGAGCAAAGGATAGAAATATAGCACAGGCGATATGCTGGATAGGAGTGTGATATGTGTGTCAAACAGGATTTGAATCCGCTAGTTTCTGTATTTGAAATGTAGTTACTAGAAATGAACACAAGTATAAACATATTTGTTACAGAGTCTCTAAACAAAGCGGAATAAATTATGCTAATAAGCCGTGGGTCTACAATCTTAACTATCGACTTAAGAATAAGTGAAAAAGCTCACCAGAACTTGACTAAGTTGAAGCCACAAGTATCGTTCAGACGGTAAGCCCAATGGAAATGCAGTTAATGTAATGCAACAAAGCAAAGTTTAATAGATGGTGCTGAATCTATAGGTTTACACTGTTAAACGGAGGCAATTAGCCGCAGAAAATAAACACATCTGCGCATTATCAGTTAGTAGACGGAAATGGATTTGTTTTTATTTAGTTCATCGTTATTATTTTACAACCTGCAAAGTTGAGAAACCAATCCGGAAAATCCTCCTTAACCAAAGCCATTTACTCTTTAGTAATCAGAAACTAAGCCCTACCAGTCTTCAAAATGCTGGCTAAGGAAGCCCTGACCCGGACAGCCAACCATTGTCCTCTACACTGGCAGTACCCTGTATGGCAGTGAAGGATGGGTCAGGCTATATCGCAGTTAGTTTTCAATCCGTGTTGGTCAGCATGCGTTACCCATGGCTCAGTGGCATAAGCTGCTCTGTATTTGGTTCTATCCTCTACCGGTCATAGGTTCGATCCCCAGCAGGGCACCGAGGGAATGCACACCACTTAAGAGCCTCGGTGGCGTTTTGATGGTTAATGGGATTGCTAGCTCAAATCTGCGGCATATAATAGAATAGAATTGCGACGAAACAAATAAAATAGGCGAATTAGTTGTCAACACCAAACTTCGAAACTGTGGGTGTGTATGAAAAAAGATGCAAACGTTTCGATGTGAGGTTATCTAAGGAGTTCTGTTACGAATTGTTTGGTAGTATCCTATCACTTAGGAAACCGTGGTTTACGGCACGGAAATAGATCTCTATAAATATGTTATCTTGTCAACTTTATCCAGTAAATGTTGAAGCCAATGAGTTTAGTGGACTGTGGTATACTGGATAGCTGTTTATGCATATTCAGTATCGGATCTCTTGTTCCTAGTACGAAATTATTTGATATCCGCTGAACCATGCGTTTCGACGTTACTACTATCAGGAGGTACAAGATATTAGCAGCCATGATTCTACCAGGCGTCAAGTTCGACTGACGAATACCGGATGAATTCGCGACTGGGAGTTGAGCAATGCAAAGCAAAAGATTTAACGCTCCCGATAGTCATTGGGGTGGGAAGGAAATGGTTTCCGGTTTTCAGACCTTCGAGGAATGTTTCCTATAAATCTTTTTGCACATGACTATGTTACCACTTTTAGGCTTTGTTTACTCCGCCATAAATTCGGCCATGTTGAATTAACCATTTTTATGTAACGTGGAACTTATCCTTGTAATAGTTCGCCATATCCTAGAGCATGCAGTCTAACTGCATGGCTGACACAACGTAGTTCGTGAACAGGAAAACAAACGAATCACGCTAACTCCACATCTAGGCAACGGCTAGGTATGTGGAGTGCACCGTGGTCAGGAAACCACTTAATATTGACACTGAACTGCGAAGTAGGGCTCACTTGATGTTTTGTCGACTGGCTCACCCGGAAGACTGGAACTATACCGTGGCTTGTACGGAGCACGTCCGGATAAGGGGACGAGAACACGCAATGCGGACCATGCACTAGGAGTGGGTTTTGCAAAGTTGCACCCGTGCCCCTGGCGCGTGGTCCAGACGCAACCATATTATGAAGGCCTGCCCAATCAGGGACCAAATTAGGATCTTTTCCAGTTAAGCCCCGCCACTAATGCAAAAAGAGCACGCGCAAAAAGTTAAGCCCCGCCACTAAGGCAAAAAGGGTACACCTGAAAAGTCAAGCCCCACCAATAGTGCAAAAAGGGCACGCGTGTAAAGTTGAGCCCCGCCAATGTTTGCCAGCTCCAGTGTACGTAATGCATGTGAACGTGCCCCATAAAAACACTCCTTATCCGCTTCTAAGGTCATTTTTGTCCAAAAAGTTTCTACGTTCGCACGTAAAACCTGACATGAACTTTCTGACGCTTTCGGCGGTCGTTCATGACAAGGAAACAGCAATACGTTTTTTGCAAAGCCATGGAGTGATTCATCATCAACGTTTATGCAGACGAGGACACCAAATGACACGTTCAACTGTTTCTGACAGGTGGAGGTGTGATGCCGGACAGTGTCGGCAGGAAATCGGTCTTCGAAAGGGAACTTGGCTGGAGCGGTCTAGGATGGATTTCAGGACAATAATCCTATTCATTTATTGCTGGTCCAAAAATCTGACAACAATCAAATTCTGCTCAGAGGAGTTGTCTATTGGCCACGCGACCGCTGTCGACTGGAAGAACTTTCTGCGTGAAATTTGCGCCTGGCAGCTTTTGCAGACTCCAACGATTGTCGGCGGCCCAGGTCTACATGTCGAGATCGATGAAACCCTAATTTCACGTCGTAAAAAGACATGCTAGGTGAGTCCTTCCCCAGCAGTGGATTTTCGGATGGATTTGCCGGGAGACTAAAGAAGTGTTCTTGTATGCAGTGCCAGATCGAACTGCGGCCACTCTTCTGGACACAATCCAGGCCTGCATCGCTCCCGGCTCAATTATCATTTCCGATATGTGGGCATCATACCAAGGCATTGAATCGATGGTTGGCATGAGTTATACTCATCAAACGGTTAATCATACCGAAAACTTTGTGGATCCAACGACTGAAGCTCACACACAAACCATCGAATCTCTCTGGCACATTTACAAGATGCAGAATAAGCGCCAATGCGGCACACACCGATCTTTAGTGGACAGCTACCTGTGTAAGTTCCTTTGGAGGCAAAGACACCGAAAAATGGACCTTTTCATGCAAAATATTAAAGACTTGTCTCAATTTCACCCTCTTCAATAGAGAGTAAAAGTTCAAGTTCCATATCCTCCCTTTTCATAATCTTTTTTGGATGGCGGGGCTTAACTGGAAAAGATCCCCAAATTAGACTGTGACTGACTGAGAGAATCAGTCTGACGCCTACGCAGCATTCTCCAAGTGAGCAGGTGAAGGAAATTCATGGGTCGGGCGGTCGTTCGCAGCCGCTTCGACAGTTGACAACGAATGGTGTTGAACGAAAGTTTAGGACTGTTCGGCATTGACTCAGTCAACAAATTTAAGCCCACACTTTCCTGGTTTGAATTTTCCGGCCATGCTGGTGATTTGCAATGATATCGGTTGCACATAAAGGATTTGTCTTCTTTTAATTATGAGGAGCATTCCGAGGAGCTGGCTCCGTTTTCTTAAATATGCCGATATACGTATAATTTGAAAAGCATAGTTAGAGGACGAAAGCTGGTAAATGCGTGCATCCCGTAGTTACGCCTGTGTCTTTACAACAGGTTTATCGGAAGCTTATTTAACGATAGCAAAAAGCAGCCCAACTTCCAGGGAAGCTTTTATTTCGTATGGTAATTATAAAAAATGGCACCGAAAGAAAACAGTGCGTAACACAGAACGATTGCGTGTTGCAAACTGAACGATCACCAAGCAAAAGCAGTGCACGAATTAAGCACTTGAACTCAACATACAGTTCAACAATCCGCACCGGTCTTCATAGTTTACGAAGACATATCCTTTTTTGTTAGAATATTACATAGGCCACCAGGAAAAATCTCCAGACTGCTACGCAGATATGCATATTTATAGCTAACATTAATTGAGACCAGCTAAGATTCAGATGCAGAGTCAACGATGGAACTTCGGCCTTAAGCTGACGAATAATGGTGGTTTTTAGTGCACAGGTCTGGCTTCAACCCAGTTCATGTGACAATCTCGGCAAACCGAAAAAGTTGGGGTTCGGTGTGACGCAGCACCACTTCGTACGCTGATCTGAGCTCTATCTGGTGATCCGACACCAGTAGGCTTTTACCTGTCGTGGAAGCCGACGCTTATGCGAGCACAGAGGTTGAGGGGGTAGACAATGGTTAACTTCACACTGAACCCCTGTCGGTACATACGGGAAGTCAGAGTCCTATGGGTTCTGCCTATGTAACTGGCTACGTAGTCACACGAGTTGATGTACACAGGGAGAGTTAGCCGTGATAGTCTGAGATCACTTCCTTGGAAAGGCAAGCTACATTCGGTTTCAGCTGAGCACAACAATTAAATCAGTGTACTAAAGTTTTTGCGTAGTTGAGATTAAAGGCTTAGTTGTCCCCAATGCATTGAAACCCCTTTCGAAACGTAACTCGAGGTAAAGCTTCTTGTTAGTTACTATGGATACCAAGCACCTCGGTCCCCGCAATTGACTGCGTCTTTCGACAAAGGTTCGATGAAAGTCTTTGTCCATAAGTGTTGTTGTAAATAATGTAAGCTCATGGGTCAAGCAGTTGCCTAAGCATATTCGTTTCGCGCAGCCAAATAAGAACTTTACGAGTCTCCACTTATACCGCACTGGGTATTGACTGGATCAAATTGCCTTTCGGTAAACAGAACGCTTAGTAGATCCATACTGTGACTGGTCATTGGTGGCCATTGTTTGATGGTACTTGTAAAG